GTGCACCACTGGGCAGGTCGGGGGGATCTTAGACTCTCAAATTTAACAGAAAATACATGAAATTATAACATGCCAACTTCTTGACATTTTTGACAAATTACATTGTGACATTTTACAAATAACACTGAACACTAAACAGCAAGTAGCTAAACTGTTTGCCTGAATTAAATACCTTCATGCTCATTTTTGTATTCTGTGGTATCACACTGTACCTGTCCCTACAGATAATATGCCACATTCAGAAAATTCTGCAGTAATAACCAATCCAGAGCCTATGCAAATTAAAAGTACTAAATCCCCAAACTGGAAAAAAAAAACAAGTTTAATTCAAATTAAATGAATACCATCCAGTTTACACTTTTTTCTTTTTTTAACAAAAAGAAGGATAAAATAACAGTGTTAAGTATTTCCTTTGCAAAGGAAATTCCAGCTTTCACCTTTCAAGCAACATCTGCACCCAGTTTTTGTTTTAATCTAATCTAACTAGTCTAACACCCTTTTGTTCTCCTAGAGCCTTAGGAACTGCTTTAACTAATTTTAAACAGACTTTAAATAAAGTCTCTGAAATGATTCCATTGAGCAAGCTCCCCACAGACACAGCAAAACCCAGAATGTGAAGTTGATAATTTGAAATAAACTAATCTAATCAAGTCCAATAATATTCCTTTTCCAGTAACCCCATAATGCTTCTCTTTGTCTACAGTGATTTGATTATAAATATGCTATAGATAAAAAGGTATGAAAATTAGTTATTTCTGCTGATCAAAAGATACGAAGAACGTGAAAAGGAAAGCCATAAAGTGTGTAGAAATATTTCTAAGACATTTATAATAGCCCTCTTATAGCCAGAATATAAAAAGAATTTGAAAAAAAAAAATCAGTAGGAAAAAGACAGCCCGTTAGAGAAATATTTAAAAACACGAGAACAAGTACTTCACAAAAGCCAACATCCAAATGGCCAGAAACATAATCAACTTCTTTAGTAATCAGGCAAATACAAAATAAAACAATGCAAGGGTGGCAGAATTTGAAGACTAACACCACCAAGTGTTGTGAAGAAAAACTGGAGCTCCGAGACACGGCGGGTGAAAGTACGGTGGAGTGACCTCGGGAGCTGGGCTGGCAGTATCTGCTAGCATTGCGTGAATACACATCCAGTGACCTGGCATTTCTGCACTGAGGTGCATCCAAGAAAAAATATGTGCTCTCGTGCATCCCAAAAGTTAAGTATAATAATGCTGATGGCAACGTTATTTTGTAAGAGATCCAAACTGGGAAAAAACAGGCAACTTTCACGAGTAGTATATTCGTATAATGGAGCACTGAATGGGAATGAACATGTCTGTACAGCTAGGTCCAACAGTATGGATAATCTCACAAACGTCAAATTCCATGAAAGAAGCCAGACCTAAAAGAATATATGTCATAATAGCATTTCATACAGTTTCCTAGAACAGGCAGAATTAAACTCCAGTGTCATAAAAATGTAACAGCATTTTTTATGTAACAGCTAAAAAGTGGAAGTGATCCAAATGTCTATCAGTGGGGGAATGGTTGAATAAATTGTTGTATATTCCAATAATGGAATACTGGATGACAAAGAAAATGAGAAAATGTCAACATCCAGTGACATGGATGCATTTTATATAAATACGTTGAATGACAGAAGCAAGACACAAAAGAACAATGGTTCCATTTATGTAGCTTTCAAACAGGCAAAAATCTAAAACAGTAATGTGAACATCAGGATATTAGGTTTCTTTGGGACAAAGGGAACAGATGGCGGCTGAGCGATGGGTGTTTTCTTTATATTAACCCCTTTAGCTACACATACATGTTTTATATACATTTCTCTTTGTATGTTTCATTTCACAATTTTAAAAGGTTAGGGTTACGGTTAGAGAGAGCCGTACTCTTTGGGTTCACATCCCAGCCTTGCTGCTTTCCAGCTGTGTAACTTTGGGAAATTCATTCAACCGCTCTAGGCCTCAATTTCATAACTGTAATGTGAAGATAATAATCAGACCTATTTTGTAAGATTTGTTGTAAAGATTGGACAAATATTGGAATCTTTGCTATGATATTAACCACTTAAAACCACAGCGTGTGGTAAGTGCTAAGTGATTGCTAACTCCTGCTATTGTTACCGTTGGTATCATGGCCAGTTTGTTTGTTCAAAGGAATTTTAAACTCCCACTGGAGTTAACATTCTGCTTATAAATATATCATGGCTCTCCATGTAGGTGAGGTTTTGTTCAGGTCTCAGAAAAGTTTCTTTTCTTTTCTTTTTTTTTTTTTTGAAGTAAAAAAACTTTATTGCAGATGACACTTTGTATACAAAGTCCAGTAAAATAAACAATTAAAATTAAGTGAATTTATCAAGGCCACTGGATAGGTTAGTTTGTATTATGAAGTTTGTTCATTCTTTTGGGTATGATATATATCCATTATATGTTATATATAATAGTATACTATAATACATATAATATACTGTAATATATAAGATATGTGTATCATTTATACAGTTGGCCCTTGAACAATGTGGATATTAGGGGTATTGACGCCCCCCAGTAAAAAACGCACATATAACTTTTGACTCTCTAAGAAAGAAAAGTTTATTTTCTTGACTGTCCATGTTATTTCACAAACTAATTACTAGGTATTTTATAAATGTATTTTACAATTTAAGTAGAATTTGCTTTGCCTTGCATTTCATAGTGGTCATTGCTGGGATCTAGTAGCTAATACTGTTTAGGACCTACTGGTGTCAGTCTGGGTTCTAAGTTCTACATGGATTCATGCTTTTTATCCTGTGTAGGACCCCCATTTTACACAGGGTGGAAACTGAGAACACGGGCGCCTGGTGGTTCAGTTGTTAAGCATCTGCCTTCGGCTCAGGTCATGATCCCGGGGATCCTGGGATTGAGCCCCCACGTCAGGCTCTCTGCTCAGCAGGAAGTCTGCTTCTCCCTCTCTCTCTGTGCTCTCTCTCAAGTAATTAAATAAAAATCTTAAAAAAAAAAAAGAAGAAGAAACTGAGAACAGAGGGATAAAGGTAGCTAAGTATGTGGTCTGGGATTCAGTCTGGCCCCAGCACCCATATTTACTCCACTAATCTATGCCAGGAAAGTTGTTCGTTTTTATACTTTTATTTAGTAACTGGCCACTTTTCCGTAGCATAATTTTTTAGTTGACTTTCTTAGGTTTCCAAGAAGTCAGTTATATCATTTGCAAGTAATTATTTTTTGTATAGTATCCAGTAATTCTTGTTCCCTTGCCTTATTGCTTTGATTTTAGCTTTCAGGGGAAGTGTTGATAAAAACAACAGAATGGACATTCTTCTGTTAGTCTGACTAAATGGGAATGCCTGTATTTTTTAAATGACTGAGAATGAATTTGACTATTGACTGGAAAGTGTTTCCTTTATGTTAAGAACGTGTTTTAATTGTTTAGTTACCAGATGGTCTTTGATTGTTTATTCTACTTTGTTTTAAAATTAGGGATGGCTGTTAAGTTATATCAAGTATCTTTGTGTATCTCTGAAGATGACCACATGGATTTTTCTGTGTTGAACCATGTAATGAATCATCTTTGCATTCCTAGAATTTTTTTTAAGATTTTATTTATTTATTTTAGAGAGAGACCATGAGCCCGGGGAGGGGCAGAGGGAGAGAGGGAGAGAGAATCTCAAGCAGACTCCTCGCTGAGCGCAGAGCCCGATGCGGGGCTCCATCCCACGACCCCAAGATCATGACCTAAGCCGAAATCAAGAGTCGGACGCTCAACTGACTAAGCCACACAGGCGTGCCCCACATTCCTAGAATTTTTAACATAGTGCCGAATCTTATCTGCTAAAATTTCTGTAAGATTTTTGTGTATATAAGTACAAATGAGAGGGGTCTGCAGTTCTCTGCCATTTTTGTTAGATGAATTCTAGTTATGTAAGAGGAATTTGGAAGATTTCTGTCTTTTCATGCATTATATACTGTATTTTAAAATAATTTTTGAGAAAATTTTATGGTATGGCTGCCTAATACTGTTCATTAGTTTTTTTCACTAAAGATCTCAAGTGTTTCTTCTTTTTCACTAATTACAGAAATCTTCAAACATAGATAAAAGTAGAGAGGTTGATGTCATTTTGTTCATTTCTCACCTCACTTTGTTTTTCTCTCAAGTATTTTGAACCTTGCTACTTAAACCATGGATATTGCCTGAGAACTTGCTGCAGATGGATGTAATCATTCACACATAAGCACATACATCACATCACCTTTACCATACACTGTTGGTTAGAGGCAAGTCATAGATCCTGCGCCCGCTCTTGCTTTAGGTTTTCAACTATTATTAGTAATGTTCTGAGATGGTGAAATAAGCCTTTGAACATTTAAAAATTTGTCTTGGGTCCTGGAAGGGAGTTACAGTAAGTCAAAGAGCATAAACTTTTTAAAGCCTTTGATGTCTGGTGTCTAATTGCTTTTCAGAAAACCAGTACCTCTTTTGGTTAAAGGGTAAACAGGTGACAACACTGACAGTTCATAAATGTGCCTTTTCTGCCAACAAGATCATTAAGTGACGAGAGAGCAGGAAAGAAGACAAGAGTCATTAGAAATTCTTATCATAAACACTTGAGTGATTGGTACCTGAAAGCCTGAAGGTTATGTGAATTAATTTTCAACAGTCTTAAACTATTTGGTCAGTTTGCTGTTCCTTACTAAATCTAATTCATTGTGTGGTTGTCAAGAAACATTTGGGTGCCTAGTCTAGTGTTAGAGATTATGAGTGAGAAAAGATAAATGCTAGCATCTGTGCCCCTAAAAGGCTTAGGGGAATCTTACTATATTGTGTACATTTTTTTCATCTTTCTACAAAATATAACTTCGACTTACAAAAGTTCATACTGAATTTCACCTAAGCTGGGTTCTCATTGAAGAAATTTGAGAATCTTCCTAGGTGTGACTTCCACCAAGATAAAAACAAAGTTGGCTTTTCCTCTGTTTTAGCAACAGCGTACTGTGTACAGACTGACTCTAGTGAAAGCATGGAATGTGGATGAACTCCAGGCCTATGCTGAGCTGGTGTCCCTGGGGAATCCCGACTTCATCGAAGTGAAGGTAAGCTCCTTCTGGCTAGTGTCATCATATTTCCCATGGTGCTTTGTTGGCCACGGTGAAGTTAGCATCTTTTAAAACTCTACAGGGGGATCCCAGATGTTTTATTTATTCATTCAGAAGTATTGATCAAGAACCTGGCACTGTTCTAGGCATTGGGGATAAAAACAGTAAAGACTAAGCTTTTGCTCTTATAAAGCTTATATTTATAGAGAGGTAGACAGTCAACACAAAATGAATAATCAAAAACTACATTGTAACATTAATATTTTGAGAAATAAAATAGTGTTATAGTGAGGAATTGGTTGGCTTTAAAATAAACTTTTATTGTGGAAAATTTCAAACATAAACAGAAGTAGAGATTGGTCTAATGACCCTCCATCCAATCATCGCCTGACTTCAAAAGTTACCAACTCTGACCAGTCTTGTTTCTACTCTACCCCTACCCATTTTCTCTGCCTTACCCTGTTATTTTGAAGCAAAGTCCCACATTATATGACTCATCCGTAACTGTTTCAGTCTATGTCTCTAAAAGATATATCCTCACTTTAAACACTTATTCAGAATACTGTTCTAACAACTGTACGGTATTAACAATAGTCATTCAAGTATCGAAAATAGAAGGTTTTAAACTTGACCAATTATTTCTTCTTATTTAAACAGTCTTCGTGAATCTGGGTCCAAATAAGGGTCATTGACTGAAATTGGATTATTTCTCTCTTCAATTTCTTTTAGTTTGTTAGTTCCTCTTCAGTGTGTTCTCTCTCCTCGGTCCCACCTCCCACACCAATAATTTTTGTTGAAGAAAATGGATCATTTATCCTGGCTAGTTCCCTGTGTCTTTATTGTAGATTTTGCTGATTGCACGTTCCTGTGCCCCCTGTATTTCCTATAGATTGGAAGTAAGATCAAGAGAAGATTGATCAGGGGTGTGTGTGTTGTGTGTGTGTGTTTGCATTTCAAGATTGGTCGGTGGTATTGTATACTTACAGCAGGAGGCAGTCATGTCTGGTTGTCTCTGGCCTGTTTTTGCCAGTGTTTCTTTGGGATGGATTCCTGTAAATGGATTGATGTGCCAAAGGGCAGATATTGTTTTGGTAGATATTGTGATGGGCTGTTTCAGATTTCATAAGGAGGACTTTCCTGAGGAGCTGACTTTTTTACAACTGATTCCTAAATAGTAGGAAGCAATGCGGTCCACAGAGGCTTGGGGTCAGAGCACTCTGCGCTGTTGGCACAGGTAGCATTGAGAGGTCTCATGTGATCTCAGTGGGACAGCTGGAGTTGGCAGAGACACAAGGTGAATCACAGAGGTGGAATGGGGCCAAATTCTGTTAGAACTTTCAAGCAAGAAAAGAACTGGGTTTTATACTAAGTTTAATGGTAAACTTTTTGAATAGTAGGTGTGCTGGGCAAAGGTTTTAAGCTGGCGTGTGATGTGATCTGATTTGTGATTTTAGAAGATCACCTTGCTGCTGTCATGAGCGGGTTACAGAGATTCAGAGTAGGAGCAGGTAGACCAGTTATAAAGCAAGAGATGTGGTGGCTTGGGGAAGGTCATTGGCGATATAGTTGGAGAGGAGTGGGTGCACTGGGGATAAATTTTGGAAGTGGAACCGACAGACCTTGTTGCCAGTTGAGATGCAGGGAGTGAAAGAACAAACAGAATCAAGAATAGCACCTGGGGGCGCCTGGGTGGCTCCGTCGTTAAGCGTCTGCCTTCGGCTCAGGTCATGATCCCAGGGTCCTGGGATCGAGTCCCACATCGGGCTCCCTGCTCGGCAAGAAGCCTGCTTCTCCCTCTCCCATTCCCCCTGCTTGTGTTCCTGCTCTCACTATTTCTCTCTCTGTCAAATAAATAAATAAAATCTTTAAAAAAAAAAAAAAAGAACAGCACCTGGGTTTTTGGCTGAAGTGATCGTGTGGATGTGGAACAATTTACTGAGGCGGTAAAGACCAGTGGAGGAGGGCGGCAAGTCTGCGGGTCATTTCACGAGTTCTGTGTTGGCCTCAATCATTTGAGAGATCTTTTCAGTGTACAGGTCCAGGTCCAAATAGGCCATAGTTTATATAAGCCTGGAGTTCTGGGGATAAGACAGGGCTGGCCGTAATAATTTGGAAGCCATCAGCATGCCATGGTGGTTAAAGCTGTGGAGTGTTACGAGGCAGATGGTTTTTTTGGACAACTAAGAATCCACACAATGAGAGAAAGTGACTGGAAAATTCGCCCGGTCTCTGAAAGCTCCACCCTTCAGTGTATGCGTATGAAGCGGTTGTACTCCATGTCATTTCAGGGGCGATTCAGTTTCACAGCTGTCTTTTAGTAAGTCCCGCTTTCTGTGGTACTGTACTCTGGAGGGCCAGGGAGGTGGGAAGAGATGAAATGTTGCTGTCTGAGTGTGCAGCATTCCATCTCTAGTCAGGTCAAAGATACTCTTTTCTTTTGAAACTGCTCTTAATTTTAAAAAGGCTACTCTTGGCGAGAGCTCTAATGATGCAAAGATGCAAACTGCATCTGCAGTGTGTGTGTCAGCTTAAGAAAACCTTGCCAGCGTCAGGGATTAATGGTGTTTTGATGTGTGATTTAGCTGTTAAAGAATGCTGCCTCCAACAATGTTGCAGTAAAACTTCTATTATAAAGCAAATTGGCTGGATCACACGGTCACCTTTTTTCTCCCTCCCTCCTTTCCTTCCTTCCTTGTTTACAGAAAAGAATCACCCAGTATTATTTTTAAAAGAAAGATGACTACTTTGTAAACAGTGTAATTCTCTGATGAGTATTTTTTAGTTTGACAGACTAGTAACGTAACTTCTGTCTACAGCTGAGGTGTTGTAATAACATAGCGTCTTTCAAACTAGAGTTCCATTTTACTATTTTACCCTTGCATCCAACAGATATTGTTCAGCTCTCTCCATGTGCCAGGCCTCATCAAAGCACCAGAGATACAACGTTTGATAGGGATATGTTGTTTGGGAAATGGATGGTCTTACTAAACAAGGCAAAGTCTACAGAAGTAAAGTGAGTCACTTGGAGAGATCTTGTTTAAAAAATTTTAGAGAAATACGTAATCTAATCTCAATTTTAATTTCTTACGTGAATGGTAAAATATAACCTAACACATAACAGTTGTATCAGGGGAAAGCGTGGTGACGATCAGCTCGTCTCTTGTAGAAGGCCTGAGGGAGAAACGGCCTGCCTTATCCATACCTGAGCCGTTGAGGACTGGATCACATGCTTTGTTAAATTCAGCCCTGATTTGTCCTGCAGGTTAATGAAGTATCTTCCTTTTTTATTTTTTATTTTTTATTTATTTTATTTTATTTATTTGACAGAGAGAGACACAGCGAGAGAGGGAACGCAAGCAGGGGGAGTGGGAGAGGGAGAAGCAGGCCTCCCGCAGAGCAGGGAGCCCGATGTGGGGCTCGATCCCAGGACCCTGGGATCATGACCTGAGCCGAAGGCAGACGCTTAACGACTGAGCCACCCAGGCGCCCCGAAGTATCTTCCTTTTAAGCTGAAGTAGCAAAAGGGATGTTTGCCGAATATAGTATACTTAGGAAGCAGAACAAGTTCTAGAATATTTATGGATTATATTTTTAACCATATACATTTGGATATATTGATATAAGGAAAGTATGGAAGGATATAAGACTGTTCACAGTGTTGTATGTAGAAGAAGGACAGGGAGAGGCTTAGGAATTTTATTTTTCACATTTCCGTGCTCTGCGAATTATTACAGTGAGCGTCCATTACTTTTGTAATCCCAGTGTTTGAAATGAAATCAGTCAAGGAGAAGGCAGGCTTTCCTGTTGAATAGAGTTAAACTGCTTAAGGTCTGAAAAAGCATTTTCATTATTGTTGTTGTCTTATTAATTAAAGTGAAAAATTTTCTGAAATGGAGGAGTTTTAAAAATAGTAATAACAAGCCCTCCCTGAAAAACATTTGATGAGAGCTAGCAATATGGTAGGCTAAGTAACCTCAGATTCCTCCAAAAACAAACATTTAGAAGTAACTGTGTTAAAATAAACATACTTTTGAAAGCATAGCCATCTGTCAGGTCCGTAAGGGAGTTCCTTCGGGGCTTGAAAAAGAGAGACCACCCTGGTGGTACTTCGTAGCTCTGGTAGAGATAGGGCTTGGGTTTAAAGCACCAAACACTAGGCCCTTTCACTTCCAGTGAAAGCACAAATTAGGGTAAAATTTACCCACTGACATAGAATGGTACTTGGAAGCTTGTCCTTCACCTGTGCTCTTGATTAAAAAAAGAAGTCTCCCAGGGTCTGACCCTCACTAGGGCATGGCATTAAAATTTTAATAGTACCTCAGGGTCACGTAAATGCCCTGAAGATGTGAGATTGATAATACAAATTGACACTAGGCTAGTGATAGGCCTGGGGCTCCCTGCAGAAGCAAACACATTACTTGTTCATGTCTCTTGTCTTTTCCAGGTGTGTGTGAGTGTGCGTGCACGCACAAGGGTCTCTCCTAGTCTGCACACACTGGAGTCTTGCGGGGAATGGGGAGGAGCACAGCTTTGATACATTCCTAAAAAGTACTGATGTAGCCTGGGCCAGGTTACTGATCCTCTTTGAGCCTAAATTTCCTCAATATTAAAATTAGAATAATAGTATCACTTTAATAGGTTTGTTTTGAGAATGCAGTAGGATAATATATGCCTGGATTCAGTAAATATTTAGATCACTTTTCATTAAGCACATTTATTTAAACTAAATCAATAGAAGCTTTTTCTTTATTATATTGGTTCCCTCTTTTCTTTCACTGCTAGTCTTATAAAACATTTTTCTGTTTTATTCCCTGTGAATGAACATACATTTTAGCTTCATTAGACTTAAAGAGGCCTTTATTTGCTAGCCCAAGAAACTTAGTGATCATTATTTGCTTGCTTGTTTGTGAAAATGTGTTTCATGTTATAAACATCTGCCGTATTGAGAAACTTTCATAACACAATCCATTTGTAAATGAAATACTGTCTTTATATTCTCTCCCTTGCATTGCACCTTGAGGATAGTAAGTGCTCGGTAATAATTTGTTGTCAGATGATTTAAACCTCCTTTACGATTTTGGCACCGTAACTGTCTACAGAGCTCATTCCTTGCAGAGTGCATTTTGTAAAACAAATGTCTTAGCCTGACCTCGCTCCCTTTCTTTGCACAAAGGTAAAGAATATTACCAGTTATTCACATAGCGGTCCCCAGCTTGCTTCATAACTGATCATTAAAGAGCAGAAAAATCCTGAATAATGTGAATGAAATTTTATGTTAGATCACAAGAGGGTTCTGGAGTTTAATGACATATAGAAGAATATATGACTTGATCTTTAGGTCATTCAGCATAGATTGGTTGGGGATACAGAGAAAAACACGGGCAGCCCTTCCCTCTATAAGCTCAGAATTTAGACAGAATTATACCAGTTATCTGGTAAAAGCTATGTACAGGATATGATGAGATGGGATCAGATGGAGGAGGAGTTCCTGAACAGAGATCAAAGACATGGTGGAAAATTTAGCCAGGTAAAAACTAATGGGGCAGTTCCGTAGGAAAGCCTCGTGCTGTGCTGAGAAGCTTAGGCTGTTTTTTTTTTGTGGGAAGAGCTATTCAAACATTTTTAGGATAGAGTGTCATGTTTTGGGTATATTGTGCAAAAAGTCATGAAGACAACATTTCTCATCAGACTATAGGAGACAAAAACAATATCAGGGGTCTTTTGACACCCAGTCAGTTTAATTAAAATATCAAATAGTCAGACTGACAAAATACTGCTCTTCCTACAGACCTTCAATCCCCAGGCAAACTGTCCAAGCAGCCAGTGAAAGACCTTATGGCCTTCATGTCCTAGAACAGAGCGATCCATCTGAAAAGCACCAATGTCATGGTGTGGGTTATGCTTTTCACTGCAAACCCAGAGATGCATAAGTTGTCCTGTTCTTCAGGAACTTTCTTTGGGTCTGCTTGTCACTCCTTAATCTATAGATTCTGAAGTGAGTGCTTTTCAATTGCCACATTGTACCCATCTGTTTTCTTTTTTTTTTTTTTAAAGATTTTATTTATTTATTTGAGACAGAGAGAATGAGAGACAGAGAGCATGAGAGGGAGGAGGGTCAGAGGGAGAAGCAGACTCCCTGCCGGGCAGGGAGCCCGATGCAGGACTCGATCCGGGGACTCCAGGATCATGACCTGAGCCGAAGGCAGTCGCTTAACCAACTGAGCCACCCAGGCGCCCCTCCCATCTGTTTTCTTGAGTTCATTCTTTTTTCAAAATCGTGAGGGGAAAAGTTGGTGCTGGTGATAGAGGGGGTGGGGGCAGGGTGGTGGTAGGATGAGAAGGTAGCAGACCGCTGTGATACAGAAAATGAAGCCTTTTTAGACAATTTAGGTAGCGAGATCAGGAATAAAATCAGGGCAAGTCATCGGTTAGGATGTGTAGGAGTGTAGGATGGAGTGAAGTAGCCAGAGAAGAGAAGGGAGCACCAGAGGAGGGGGCATTAGGAGCCTGACTGAGGGAGGGCTCGGGCTTCCCAAAGGTGGCTCTCCATAGACTAATTCACTGACACCGATTTCTGCCCAGAGCACTTCTGTCACAGAGAACACTGGGGCTCTGTGGTTGGCCCAGAAAGTTGCTCGCACTGCCTACCCCAGAGGATTTGGTCTGGCCGAAATGAGAACTTTTATGTAAAAGAATTTGGCTAAGTATGAAGCACTATGTGAACGAATGGGAAAGTGTCACATGAAGGCATAATAATACAGCTGTGGCATTCATTCTCTCATTGCCTTTCCAAAGCAAGTCTGTGCTTAATGTCTCATGATTTATTATTGCTAAGTAGGAAATATTAAAATGTTTTCCAAAGCCCTTGTTGTAAATATAAGTTCTCATCTCAAGCCTCTGTTTCAAGGAACTTCTTAAATATGAACAGTAAATTCCTTTGTATTAGCTATTGTGTACATGCTTGTTCATATAATTCACATATCATAAACAGCATTTAAATTGAAATAAAGTTCATTTTTATGACTAATTTGACCTACCAGTAAATCATTTTTGTGTTTTGTATACATTTGGGGAAACGTAGCACAATTTTGCAGCCATACCTAAAGATTTTTAAAACTGTTATATTATTTGCTTTTTTAAATTCACCTAAATCTCAAGCTCAGTTTAATGAATTCTGTAAATCATCGGGCTGATAGGGAAGATGCTCTTGTTTATTACAACTAAGCTGGGTCGCTTCTAGTTTATGTTCAGCAAAGGTCATCTTGGTTTAGCATACCAGTAATCTTTTTGAACAGCCATCTGGAGTCAAGCATTTTGCAGAGCTCATCTGAGTCTTCAGCCAACTCCTAGCTTCACCATCTGCAGGGTCACGGTCACTCTACAGTGCTCATCTGTGGGTTTTTTCATAAAGTGGCACCATACCCCCTCCAATCTGTGTGTGTGTGTGTGTGCGCGCGCGTGTGCACGCGTGCGCATATGTGTCCACATCCATGTGTGTGTGAAAGAGAGTGTGAGTGGATGTCTTTTTATTTCAGTTATTCCCTCCTTAGTAGTAGCATATCTAGAATATTCAAAACACTTGTCAAGAAAGTTTGATCCTGGAGTATTTAAAGAGCCTACAAAGTTAAGATATTCCTTATTATTGGTAAATGCATCATTATGTAACTTACCAAAGAGAGAACTTAATTATGAAACTTTGGGGTCCTATATGCCTGGGCCGTCAGGGAGAGTTCAAAAGACTTAGAAGCTTCAGAAATTTCTGGAGAGGTGAGACACATGCTTATACATGTAAGTGTGTGAAAGGGATGTATTTATAGCCACAAATGTATTTCCTGTTTGGCGTGAATCTGTGTTTATACATATCCATTTACAAAATGCATTACCAAGTGATCTCCTTAAAGAATAATTTCAAAGGGATCCCTAGCTGGCCCTTTACAGGAAAACCTTACCAATCTTATGAAACTTCAGCTGCACTGGAAAATGGGAGCTCATTTATTTTCCCAGTGAGTAAGTTGTTCACTGAATTTTTGTGGGTGTCAACCATGCCTCCATTAGTGGTCCAGGAGATTATAATTCCTTGAAAATTAATCTATTATAGTGCACAAAGGAATCTGAATGAAAAGATACGTTATTGGTTCAAATACAGTGCTCTGCCCTAGCATAGATTGTGACCGCATGAGCATGAAGCAAGGGTACCTGAGCACTGCAGTCACAGGGTGGGGAGGGCACTGGCCTGGGAGCTCCTGCCTACTTGTGTGAGCTCCTAAGCAGATTTTATCATCTCTAATGCACTATTACTTTCTTCACCTTTGCATTGGATTGGACTGGATTGGATTGGATTGGATTGGGTGGGTTGGGGTTGGGTAGATTATCTCTAGAAGCCTTTCTGGCTTTGACACTCTTGTTCGATGACATTTAAATAGGTCTGTAATTATCTGTAACTGTTGTAATGCTTCCCCAGGGTGTCACCTACTGTGGGGAGAGTTCAGCAAGCAGTCTCACCATGGCCAATGTGCCTTGGCACGAGGAGGTGATACACTTTGTCCGTGACTTGGTGGATCTGATCCCCGACTATGAAATTGCTTGTGAACATGAACATTCCAACTGCCTCCTGATAGCTCACAAAAGGGTAAGAAGAGCTCAACTATGCATTCTTCTATCTGCTCCTTCTCCTCTTTAGTTTCTCCTCCCTTTATTATGAGTAGGTATCTGCTTGTTTGCTACCTTTCCTGAAACAGACTTAAGGAAGCCCTCAGTGGGTGTGTGGGTAATGATGTGCAGAACAAAGGCCAAAGAAATATAGAAAAAAAATTAAACTTCCTTACAACTTACAGCCCATTGACAAGTACTTGGGACAGACAGGGTGACCTTCCTCCAGAAACTCAGCTGCCTCAATGTTAATACTTTGCTAAAGGCAAAAGGCAGCCTTAGTTTGACATTAGCCCGACCACCAGGATCCTGTAAGTCTTCTTTAACGTCGAAAATCCTGGGGCGCCTGGGTGGCTCAGTCGTTAGGTGTCTGCCTTTGGCTCAGGTCGTGATCCCAGGGTCCTGGGATTGAGCCCCACGTCGGGCTCCCTGCTCAGTGGGAAGCCTGCCTCTCCCTTTCCCACTCCCCCTGCTTGTGTTCCCTCTCTCACTGTCAAGTAAATAAAATCTTTTTTAAAAAACAAAAAACATCAAAAATCCCTTTGGAAACTTCCTTTTTCTCTACCCCTCCACCCCAAGATATAAGTTAGTGATCATCCTCCAAACATATGGCTCCCTGATATACAGCTGAAGGGTCTCATGACTGGGGTCTTACTAGACAGTAGTAAATGACATTATCCTAACAACAGCTAGCTCCTCAAGGTCCTGGAAACCTTGCTTCCAAGTTCCTTAGAGACTTATGCTGTCCCTAACCTCCTCCCAACTTGAAAATATATAGTCAGTCACTCCTCACAACCCCAGTGTAGCTCTTTCTGCCCACAGGTTCTGTCCCTGTGCTTTAATAAAACCACCCTTTTTGCACCGAAGATACCTTGAGAATCGTTTCTTGCTCTTGGCTCCTGGACCCCAGCATTTCACATCAGATAGGATGACTGTTGTTGAGACTAGATGAAAGCACAGTGAGGTTTGTTAGACTACTCTGCCTGATTTTCTGTTCAAGTTCTCCATTAACAAATACTTTTTTTTAAAAAAGTAAACATGGATGAACCCTGAAAACATTATTCTAGGTGAAAAAAAAAACCAGACAGAAAAGGGCACATATTGTATGATTCCGTTTACATGAGATGTCCAGACCAGTTAAATCCGTAGAGACAGAAGGTAGATTGGTGGTTGCCAGAGACTGGAGAAGAGCAGTCTGGGAAGTGACCACTAACAGGCACAGGTTTTCTTTGGGGGTGATGGAAATATTCTAGAAATATCGAGTGGTGCCGGTTGTCCATCTCTGTGACTATACCAAAAATCACTGAATTGTACACTTTAAAAGGCTGAATTTTATGGCATGTGAATTATATCACAATAAAGATAAATTAATACCAAAAAGATAATAAAGGTCAAGATTGGAGTACCTCTTCTTATAGAAGTGCTTTTTATGCAAGTAAAGTCAGGCTTAATTTGAACATGAAAGAACATTTTATCCTCCCCAAAAACCTTAAATGGCTTCCTGAACAGCTTCTCAGGTTAGCGACATTTAATAATACAAGATTTGCTCAGTTAAAATTTCACATCCTCTGGTCTCAACAAACACCTGGTTAAAAGGCTCTTGTGCTTTAGTTGCAGTGAGATTGTGTGTAGATGACCTGTGGTCTGTCAGACTTAAATATTTAGACAGAAGAATATGTTCTGGGACATCAAGGGACATCAAGGAACAGAGAAACAAAGACCACCTGGTATTTGAAATGTTAATTAAAGTAGCTACAAAGCTAATTAACTTACGAAGCAAATCTTAAAAATTAAAGCCAAAAAACCTGAATTTTATTTTCTAGTTTTTCATTCACTGTTATCTTAGGTAAGGTAGTGCCTTTAAAAAAACATTATTTGATTGAAGAGGCAGTGCTCTGAAAATAATCCTGACCATGGTGGTAAAGTTCTCTCCTCTTCCATTGAGACTGTTCTTCACATCATAGCCAAAGAAATCTGTATAGAATATTGATCTCTGCTGCTCAGATGCTTCAGTGACCTCCCTTTGCTTTTAACATAAAAATCAAAATCCTTAATGTGACTCTAGGACCCAGCATGAGAAGGCTATCTACCTCTCCAGCTCTTAAACTGCTCTTCTCTCCTCTCTCTCTGCACTTTCTTTATTTTCTCAGCCACAATAGGTCTTTTCCTTTAATTAGGATGGAAATTATATACTCTTTTCTGTTCTTTTAGTGGTTGCAGTAGGAATGACTCTATGCATCCTCAACTAATCAAAGTCTAATGGTAATGAATACTTTTATGCTCTAACTACAGTGCAAGGACCTGAGAACACCTTATCAACCTCCATTTTTCCCTTCCCAACTCACCTGCTGTTACTGTTGTGTCCATTAATGATAAATGTGTATAAGGAAAATATTGTTAACTGCCTTATATAGTCAGGATTCCTTTAGATTTACATGCATCTTGGGGCGCCTGGGTGGCTCAGTCATTAAGCATCTGCCTTTGGCTCTGGTCATGATCCCCGGCTCCTGGGATCGAGCCCTGCATCGGGCTCCCTGCTCAGTGGGGAGCCTGCTTCTCCCTCTCCCACTCCCCCTGCTTGTGTTCCCTCTCTCGCTATGTGTTTCTCACTGTCAAATAAATAAATAAAATCTTAAAGATGCATGTAAATCTTTTTTTTTTTTTTTTAACACTGTTGTGCACTCTGTTCCTTTCTGCATTTTTTGATCCCCTATATGGGAATTGTTTTCCTTCTGCCCAGAAAACACTGTTTACAATATACTTTAGTGGGAGTCTGCTGATAGAAAATTCTGTTCTTGTTTGTCTGGAAATGTATATTTTGGCTGGGGATAAAATTCTAGGTTGACATTTGTTGCCTTTCAACACAATAAAGATATTCTCTTGTCTTTTACATTCCATTGATAAAAAGTCAGCTACTGGTTTGTTGCTCCTTTTCAGATAATCTGCCGTTTTCATCCTTCTGGCTTCTTTTTTGGTTCTGCCCATATCCACAGGGAGTTCTCAGAAAGGGCCAAACAAATAAGTGAAATTTGATGTGATAAATGTAATAACAGTTATAGCTACCAGGTACAAGCCAGCATGAGGAGAGAGTCTGAGATGAACCTCATTATCTAATGTTTGTTGAGCACCCAAGATGCATCAGGCACTCTGCTGGGTACTAAGAATACAAAGATGAGTTAAGCAAATGGTCCCTGCCTTCAAGAATGGTCTAACAGAAAAAAAGGGCAACTATCAAAACAAATGCCCCCAAAGTTTTATCAGAGCAATGATGGAAGATTAGAATAGAGCCCAGAGGGGTGTACTTAGGATGATGTGGTACCATCAGGAGAGGCTTCACAGAGGAGTTGCTGTTTGACAGGATGTCCAGTGACAGCCCAGCTAGGAAGGACATTAAAGCAGAAAACCATACAAGGAAAGGTCCTTGGAGAAGGGCAGAGGTCTAGCCTGTTAGGAGAACGACAAGTAGTTCAGTATGGCTGGAGGTCAAAAGAATGGTTGAAGGGAAAGGAAGGGGGGTGATTGGTCAGTGGCAAGAGCACTGATGGTATTAAATGGCGTCCTAGTTGTGCCTTTTCCTATACAGCATGGGCAGGCACTGAAGGGTTTTAAGTAGGGGAGTGACCCAATCAGATTTGAGGTTCAGAAAAATTCCTCTAGCAACATTACAGGGGATGAACTGCAAGACTAAAAGACAGAGAAACCAGTTAAAAACTGTTGTAAGAATCCAACAGTCCGAGGGTGAAGTGATGAGGGTCTGAAACAAAGGGTGCGAAGGGAGAGAGAGGAGAGTGGTAGACTTGGTCAGATACGCAACGTAGGCCACTCTCTTTCATCCTAGGTGAGGCGTGGGCTGGTGTCACGTCAGTACTGCCAAGTAGATGTCGAAGTTCAGGCTCCCCACTCAGCCGCCATTGACCTGTGCGGGGAGGAGTGCCTCGGTATGGCTCATTTGGGGGTGGCAGTTCAGGCTCTCCTCTCAGCAACCTCTGATACCACTCTGACTAGGGAGGGAGGATCACCTTCCTGCTGCTCCCCAGTGACAGTATGGGATGGACGTGGGGACCTCGTTGCCCTTAGGCAGTGGTGGAAGTCTTGGCTCTCTGCTAAGCTTCCTCTGTCCCCACTCTAGCGTGGGTGGGGAGAGGCACCTTGCTAGGGCCAGGTGGAGGTCAATGCTCCTGAGACGACAGAGGGGGGTTGGGATGGCCCGATCCTCCGCCCCACCTTCTTGAGAGCTCCCCAGCAGCGAGGAGGGAGGGTACAGCTCAGTATGGCTGGGCAAATGTGAAAGTCTAGGATCCCGCCTAGGTGCTGACTGACCTGGGATGAGAATCGGGCATTTTTCTCATGGCCTAGGTTGGTTATTGCCAAAAGGTTTTCTGTCCTGCTAGCTAGGCTGCCCTTTTCCTGGTCCTTTGGCTAGGAAAAGCAGGTTTTTCATGGGGCTCTAAGATGTTTTTTTACTGTTGGTGCCCTTTGGTATTTCTGGATTGCAGGCTTCAGCCAAGCTTCTGGGCTCCAGCACCCAGTGCAGGATATAAGAGCCAAAAATAAAACCCAGGGAATGCACCACTGTTGTTCCTCAGGTCTCGAGGTCCCTAGCCAGTGTGCCTTCTTATATCTACCTTTAAAGTTTTATGTTTGTTTTATATGTCATATCCAGGGATTTTAGCTGTATAGTGGGAGAAAGAGGAAGAAGTGCATACACTCCATCTTGTCCAGAAACAGAAGTCTATGACCACGGTTTTGACATTTATAGTTTTTGGTTTGGTATCTCCTCAGTGAACATTAATGCCAGTCAACTTGGTACACCGTTTATTAGTAGATTATTTAGCAGATTATTTCCATGTAAATTGATTTTCTGTATTTATGTTAGAAGTGTCACCCAGTATGGTTACAAGGCTGCCCCTGCAATGTTACTGGAAAGATTTTCCTGAAACTTACATGAAAACATCCTTGCCTGATCCTTATCAGAGCCTA